GCACACGCACCCACACACACCCACGCACAAGCATACACATACACGCACACATTCGCATCTGGAGCATTGGAGGTTGGGGCAACGAACCCACGCTGCCGCCCCGCGGTCACGCTCGACGGGCTGCCGCCCGGGCTATAAACGAGGTGGGGCCACGGAGCCGAAAGTGCAACGGGACGGCATCCACCCCGCACGCACGAACGCACGCGCGCACGCACACACACACACACAGGCACACTATCACTCGCATATGCACAAGCACACCGTCACGCGTACACGAACACACATACACACACGCGCACACAAAAACACACACACACACGCATACGCACGCGCGCGCGCACACGCACACATTCACACACATACGCACTCGCACGCACGCACGCGCAAACGCACGCACGCACGCACGCACGCACGCACGCACGCACATGCGCACACGCGCACGCACAATCACATACACACGCATACACACATGCACGCGCGCATGCATGCACCTACAAGCGCGCACTCACGCACGCACGCTCGCAAACACGTACACGCGCTCGCAGGCACGCACGCGCGCACGCACGCACATACACATCACATCTCTCCTCACACACGCGAGCTTGCACGCACACACACACGCACTCAGACAGACGCGCACACACACACAAACACACACACACACGCACACGCACACGCACACACACACACACACACAAACAAACAAACACACACACGCACGCACGCACGCACGCACGCACGCACGCACGCACGCACACAGACACGCGCGCACACACGCACGCACGCAGGCCCGCCCGCCCGCCCGCCCGCGCTCGCGCGCACGCGCGCGCGCACGCGCGCACGCACGCACGCACACACAGACACACACACACAGACACACACACAGACACCTACAAACACTTTGGGTTCCAACGTGGGTCTGTTAATATAGAGAGGGTCTTGAAACAAACGTTGCAACACATATTCTGCGCATCTGTGTATACGCGGTCTGGCAGATCGGGGCGGCATCATCGCGACGCCAACGGGCGTCGCGGACTCGAGACTTTGGCCTGGAAACACGATGCGCACGATTACCCAGATCATGAAGTTCTGCAACAAGTCACTGTGCTCTGGGGGTGCGCGGGCACGCAAAACACTGCTCAGCTAATCGTTAGCTGGCGCCCGCTTCGAACTCATGCCCCATCCCCCGCCTCTTCCAAATATCCCTTCGCTGCGGCCCCACCCTCCTCATGCCCCTCCGATCGCCCCGGTCCTCAGCATGCCCTTCATCTACACTGCCCCCCCCATGTGTCAATTCACGTCGTTCCTCGTCGTCCTCCTGCGCCGGATTCGTTCCCCCATCGTCCACATGCCTGCCCTCCTCCCATCCTCTACGCCCTAGTGCACATCATGCCCACAACTTCTGCCCTCCCCCACCTCCCTCGCCCTCGTGATGCTGACGCCGATGATGCAAATCCTCCTGGGCTCTCTTCCTCCGCTCTCGTCCAGTCCCGTTCATCCTTGGCCCCTCGGCCACCCCTCCTATCGAACCCCTTCCTTCCCACAGCCCACCATCCCCACCCCCCCGCGCCTTTGCATGCCCAGACCACGGCCCCCTCCTGGACCAGCCAGGAGACCCGCGGAAACTCCCGCCCAGTGACCACTCCAGCGAGAGGCGCGCAACAAATGCACACTTGGAGACACGAACTGTGCATTTCGACCGCGCACGACGCCGCCCCTGGACCAGCCGGAAGAGAAACGCGAAAGTTCCCGTCCATTCAACACCACCCGCGAGGGGCACACTCCAAATACACAGATGGGAACGAGATCTGTGTACACAGATCACACCACGATCTGTGTAAACAGCGGGCCCACACACGAAAATACACAGTTGAAGACACAAACTGTGTACACAGATCACACCTTGATCTGTGTATTTCGAAAAAGTGAACGCTCGCCACCTCGAGGGCGCCCCGACTTTGCCAACCCAGAACTGAAGTCGGGGGGGGATGCAAATACACACTTCCCCGGCCCAGGGCGCCCCCGAGAGAGCCGCAAATACACGCTTCCCTGGCCCAAGGCGGCCGCGGTGCAACGCGGCGCCAAAGCGGCCCCAAACGGCCCGAAGACGTCCCAAAAGGCCTCGAAGAACCCCAGAGAATGCCGCGCAGCAATCCGAAAACACGAGAGATGTCACATGTCAAGGACCTCTCAAGAGTCAAAGCTCCACGCGTCGCCATATAGATCACGGCTCTGGCAAGGGGGGTTGGACCCTGCCGCAGGCACCTGTAATTTACATGTTAGCGATGCGACTGTGCTCGGCGGCCGTGCCGCCCGCATTTAGGGTGCGCCCCGAAATCTCGCATTGGCAATCCCCTCTGTTTGGTTGCGCCGCTGTGCTCGGATATCGAAAAAGCATTTACCGCTGACGCGGGCACGCGGCGCCAGGGACTTCACTTTTCGAACAAGGAGGGTGGACGAGGTAGGACGACGGATGGTGGAGCAGGGAGGCAAAGAGGAACGAGGAATAGGGAGGGAGGTGGGAACGGGCTCTCCCCCGCCCGAGCCGCGGACGCTTTCGACACCATCCGGGGGAGGGAGGAAAGGAAGGGGAACGGAGCAAGGGCGAGGACGACGACGGGAAGCAAAGTGTCCTGGGTCCGCATATAGCCATATGTCTGCGATTCGGGTGCGCGCGCTTTCTTCGAGGCACTTCAAGCCGGACCCATACTGAATTCACTAATTCCTCAAAACTGTGTAAACACTCTGTCCTCTGTTTCCTCTCCTATACAACGGCCTCATAACAGAGGGGCAGTGGATTCCAACAAACACTCACAGACACACACACACAGACACACACACAGACAGACACAGACACACACCGACACACACACACACAGACACACACAGACACACACACAGAGACACACAGAGACACACAGAGACACACAGACACACACACAGACACACACACAGACACACACACACACAGACGCACACACAGACGCACACAGGCACACACAGACACACACAGACAGACACACACAGACACACGCACACACGCACACACACATTCACACACACATGCACAAACCCACATACAATCACGCACACATGCACACACGGACGCACGCACGCACGCACGCACAACCGCTCACACACATATAAAAACGTGTATCTCTGTATATATATATACACAGACACACGAACATGCTTCTCCAAAGCGCTGATGGAAACAACCGGTGGACCGACGAAGTCTAGAATGGGATGCGCTCAAGCACATTGGCCTACGCACGCGCAAGCACGCACACACACAATTAAACACGCGCGCGAGCACCACGGCGCGGGGATGCAGCCTCCTGGTCCGGGACGCCGTCGCTGTCGCTGTCGACGCACTGGTCGCTCTGGCAGTCGGGGTCGTAAGGGGCCGGGTCGTCCAAGTCAGGCACTCCGTCGCCGTCGGTGTCCATCTGGCGGACGAGGAGGGATTAGTATTCAGCCACGGGGAGGTCTTTGATTCAGCCGCTAGGATTCAGCCACGGGGAATGAGGATTCAGCCATTAGGATTCAGCCATTTAGGATTCAGCCACGGGGAGGTCTTTGACTCAACCACGGGGAATTAGGACTCCGCTGTTAGGATTCAGCCACGGAGAGGACGAAGGACTACTGAGCCAGATTGAGTGGATGGAAGGCCTTAATGCTGGAACGACATGACTACAGAACATATTGCTGGACAAGGAGGAGGTAGCAGGTGGATGAGAGTCCGGGGTAAGCAGAAGGACAGGATGGTGCAGGGAGGAGAGGGTGGTGGACCTGGAGCATGTCTTTCAAGTGTCTCTAAGCTTCGGATGCTAATCTTCCTCATGGATTTTTGGTGGCCTCGTCGGGAACCTGAACCATCGTGCGCCGTCGGTGCCGTCACAGCTCTGCATCGCCGAGGACCTTCTCCAGCAAGGAGCACCACTGCCAAACGCAAGACGTGCGCCACAGCAAGCGAGGCGCAGAGAGAGACACATGCCGAATGTGCAAAGCCGCCGACTCGGATTGCTGGCGGGATGGGCCGACGGCCATCGTGCGCCACCGTGCATCGGCGGCAAGCGAGGGGGGGACGTGAGAAGGGGGAGGCCCTCTCAGAAGGCCGCGGGGCTTCCCAGAAGCTGTTGGGCCTCCTGGACAATTTTCTGCGCCTTCGGGGAAGGCTTAAGAAACTTTTCAGTAGGCTGGGGGACTTCCGAGCCTTCTGAGAAAGCCCGCCTTCTCGGGGCTGGCCGCCGTCGTGCGCTGTCTTGCACTACATCTCGCCATCGTGTAGCGCCATCGTGTTCCGCCGTATTCCGTCGCGCTCGTGTTTAATCGTGTAGCGCCGTCACGAACTATCTCTTGCCATCGGGTAGTTCCATCTCTAGGGGGCCACGTGCGAACCCTACCCCTACCCCCCACGATTTCTGAGGGGGAGGGTGGGGGGTAGGGGTAGGGTTCGCATGTTTCCCCAGCTCCCCCCAGCTGGCTGCCACAGTGCAGCGCGTGCCATCGTGCGATGCCGTGCGCTACATCTCGGGGCTGCTCTTGGCTGTCGTGGAGGCGCCATGGCCGCGGCCCGCCCAGGGACGCTCCGGGGCCGTGCCGGACGCCTCGAACTTCGCCAGCGCAACAAACGACCGGCGCGCACAAGGGGCTAGGCGGAGGGGGGAAGGCTTCTTAGACAGAGGCTGCTTCTTAGAAGGTACCGGCCTTCCATCTATGGGTGAGGCCCGCGCCTTCTGAGGAACAAGAGTGCTTCTCAGAAGCCGCCGTCTGACACGCTACCTTCCCCCTTTCTGCCGGTGGCTGAACACAAGCTGTGCACAGCTCTGACTCCAGACGGTGGTGAGGCCTGATACACGACAGCTCGCATTCAGACGTCATGGAGAAGGAAAAGAGAATGAGGACGGAGGAGAGGAAGGAGACAGGCGCGGGAGGAGACTGTGCGAATCCGATGCCGCCAAGCCAGCCGCGAACCTCACACGAGCCGACCTGAGATAACAAACCCATGCGGTGGCACCTGGCCCCAAAGGGAGGGCGAGGCGTGTGCGGCTTTTCCCCGGCCGAGCGGCACAGTTGTTTGCCCGGCCTGCCGCTGGCGAGGCCGCGCAGGGCATCAAGCCTGCGCGCGCTCGGCAAGTCAGCGCCCAGCAAAAACTCTGGACGCCCGAAATGGGTACGAAAAAGAATGGGCACAATGCCCAACAACAAATGTTGCCCCAAACCAACGGCGGCCGCTGTTGGGCGGGCGGCCTTCTGTCTCAAATGTGCACAGGCCGCGGCGGCGTGGACCACAAGTCCTTCTCAGAATGAACAGGAACTGCTCTTGGGCATCGTGCCCACTCTTTCCGTACAGTCAACGTATATGAAGGACGCGTGGTAAGGACACAAGACCCTTGGAGGCTGAAGTGGGTTTTTTTTTGGCGGCGGCGACCAGTGAAAGCGGCAAAGGACGGGCCACAGAGGCAGGGGCGCAAGGGTATCCTAGATGAAGGCGCGCGTCCTTACTAGGCGCGTTGACTCTACCCATTCCGGGCGTCCAGAAAAACGGGCAGCCCGCGGCCGGGTGGCTCCGCCGACGCCACGAGCCGACGCCGGGGCAGCCCGTGCAGCGCGGGCAGACCGTGCGAGCCTCCGACGCGGGTGCCCAGAAGCCGCCGCCGCGCCCCCGCAGCGGCGGGCGCGCGGCCGGCCCCCGGGCGCTCTCCTTGCGCACGCAGAGCGGTCGCCCCCCCCCCCCCCCCCCGGCGCCTCGGGCCCAAGACGCGCTCCTGGGCACGGCCAGGCCCCTTGCGCCGCTTGGGCCTCCCAGGCAGCAGGCGTGCCCAAAGACAAGGTTGGGGGAGGGAGGTTCTCCAATGGATTACCCCCCCCCCGCCCCCGGCGCCCGTCCCCCACCCTCCCCCCCATGGGCGCTGGACCGAGCGCGGTGGCGGAATCGCGCGGCAGCGCCACTGGATAGTCGTCCATGATGCGCGGGGCGAGGCTTCCCGGAAAGTCTATCCATAACTACAGTCCTGGATATCAATAACTGAGGGTCTCCGCTGGCGGCGGAGCTGGATCTGCTCGGGCTGGCCGCAACGGGTGTATACCCTTCTTTGGCTCTGAGCCCGACATGCGCGGGTTGCAAGTAGCTCGCGAGCAGTAGGAGGGTGGGAATGAGGGTGACCAGGGGATAGGGGACGCGCAGCATGAAGAGGGAAAGCAGGAGCAGAGAGAAACATAACGTGGTGAGGTGAAATGGACTGTGCTGCCAGCCAGAGTGTCACGCTCTCTGGGTTGAAATGGCAGCGCTCCCACATCGGGGTACTGGCTGCAGGGTGAGTCTACTCCCATCGAAACAAGGAGCGCGATGAACACCACGTTGCCCTATTGAAACCAACACGTGCTGGGCAGCAGCGAGGAGGATGGGAAGAGGCGGGATGGGGAAGGAGAGAACCAGCGGTGCTCTATCCGACTCGAGTGTCCAGCGCGAGCGAGAGGGCTGGGAAATACAAGGAACAAGGTAGGACGGGAAGCCCATCCGAACAAAAAACACGCGGCCAATCGACCAGACGTGGAGGGGCAACGGAAGGGGGGGGGGGCAGCTCAGGGGGGAAGGCATCGAGCTGGAACGGGCGATACATCGCCGACACATCGGCGGTGCGCCCCCGATGGCGGGTCCGCACTCTCCTGGGCAGGGCTTGTCAACAAAAACCTCTGGGGCACAGAACCACACATGCTTGGATGACCCAGGATCGCCGCAGCCGCATTCCTCGACATCACTCGAATGCTGGCCGGGGGGCGCAATGCTCATGGGGGGAAGAACAGCAGATCTTTCGCCTCCGAGGAGCGCTGGTCCCCCCCCTGAGAGAGGAAGGGGGTGGGGTCCTCCCTTCATCGTTCGAAAAACAGATTCGGCGGGGGACAAACCTCCCTTTCGTAGATCCCCCCTCCGTGAAACCGGCCTGGGACTGAAACCGACGGACCTGAACCCGCAGAAATGACGGCTGCGACGCCCTCTCGCGAACCGAGAACGGCCAGCTCCTGAATCGACGTGTCAGGATAGGAGGTCTGTCCACCCCCGACAGATGGCGACGTAAACATGAACTTGCGGAGGTCCGCGCCGACTTCTCGGGTCGGCGCTGGAGCCCCCTCCCTGCTGCGCGGAGCGCGCCGGGCGCGGCGCTGGAGGCGCCGCCAAGGGGGCGCAGCGCCGCTCCAAGAAGTCCGCACGGAGCTCCGAAACGGTAAGTTTGTGCAAGTGTCCCGTTCTTCGACGATGTGGGACAACCCTCATATGAGCAGGGCCAACCGTCTTGGGATTCCTGCAGTCCGACCGCGCAATGCTGTTCGTATACTGGGCTATCTCTGAACAGCATGTTCTTAGAGTATCGAGCCGATGTATTACAACACGACTGTCTCACTCAGACATGTTCTAAGTACATGTCGTACAAGCCACCAGAGGCTCGTGTGGCAATAACGTTTGGGTCTGTGGGCGAGTCAGGACGCTTCGCCACTGCTTGGACAAACAATCCAGGGTCTGAGAGCCGGCGGAACTCCCTCCAGGGTCTGAACCTTCATGGGCACATTCCTTCACCAGCGCCCCCACAGCAGTTATCCCCCCTGACGTTGCCCCTGAGATGTGGTCAACACGCAGAGCGAGCCGCCATCACGACGAGCAGAAGCACGTGCACGAGCGGGGCCTCTCGCCGTCCGTCTCGTCCGGGGGCCGCACGAGGATGACGTCGCTGTCGCTTGTCAGCATGCGGTCGGCGGTAGGCGACCTCGCCGGCGCGCCCTTGAAGGACCCCGACCTCAGAGGAGGGACAATTCAAGGTACAAGCCATTTTCTTCCACAGGGGAATAATCGCCCGAAGGCTCGCTCGCTCGGCCAGTGTCGAGCCGAACGCAAAGCCCTCGATCTCCACCTTTCGCACCTCGATCTCCAGGAGGGAGGAGGGAGGAGGGAGGAGGGAGGCGGGAGGCGGGAGGCGGGAGGCGGGAGGCGGGAGGAGGGAGGAGGGAGGGCGGCGGATGCCGAGCAGCGGCCACCGCCGGCGCGGCCGCCAGCGCGGCCGCGCCGCGGCAGCCTCGGAGGCCGCCGCGGACGCGCCGCGGCGGTAGCATACCCTCAAAAGATTCATGGCCCCATCGGGAGCTCCACCGAAGGACTCAGTGGCACAGTCCGCATGGCGTTCCCGCACCCGGATCGGCACACTCTTCACACGTCTCGTGGCCCTATAAGGAGCTCCACCCAAGGCCCCAATGGCCCCTGTTGCTGCCCTCCCTCCTTCATCAAATGTTCCGCGATACTGGAAGGCCCCAGTGGCAGCGCCCGCGTGGTAGCCCCGCTACGTTTCGGCACACCCTTCGCGCGCTTCGCGGCCCCATCGGCAGATACACCGACGACGATAGTCACGACGATGGCATTTTCAACTGAGATGGTTGGGTCCTTCGCCGGGCTAGATTTTCTGTATCCTCTGGATTTCAGCCGTCTCCTCCATTTCGAATACCTCTGTGGATATTCTGGAGAAGCGGCGCTTCTGCATGCCTGTGCCTACCTTTTCCTCTTGATTGCCTGCTTCTCCGAGGACCTGCCGAGCGCCTTTGCGTCCAGGGTCTTCAACCGCACTCTGCCCAGCCCCATGCTCCGCGACGCGAACATGTCAGCCGAGGCCGCATTGTCCGAGGCTTGGTTGCCGCAGCTCGGGACGGCGAGCCTCGCGCCGCTGGCGCGCGACTCGCACGCCAAAGCGTTCCCGCGCAGCGCCGTCTCCCGGAACGTCGGCGTCGGCCGGCACATGCTGCAGCCGGAGCCGCCGCACGCCAGGCAGCCGGTGTCGACGGACACCTGCCAATGGGGCCCAGGGACACACAAACAAGTGCACACGAACCCCGGGATGCCCCATATCTCCCCGTACTTCCTGGGTCCTTGCCTCTCCCCCCACTTGCCATATCTTCCCATCATCCCGGGGGCATCGACGCTTCATTGCGTCTGTGTGCTTCTTTTCCTTCCCCTCCCGAGCCTGCGGCTCTGCGTCGCCTGGCGGGGCGAGGGGCCGAGAGCTGGCGCCGTCCCCGCCCAGGTTGTACTGGCTCAGGCTCCTCGTCTTGTTGTGCAGCCTCGCGGCCGTCGGGTCCACCGCGACCGTCGTGTCGGCGGCGATCTTGAGGATCGAAGGAAGGGAAGCACGGCAAGAAACGTGCAGTATTCGGCCTGACCTACGGAGCGATGAGTCAGGAACGAAGCCCCTTTCTGTTCCAAGTGTGTCTCCGACATCCGAAAGAACACCAGAAGGGGCTCGCCGCCAAAAAGGTAGTGGAACGAATGCAAACCAAAAGAACGACCGAACGCCTTTTGAAACGTACATTGTTCAAGCCGGATCCTGTATGCCGCCGCGCCATTGGTCCTGAACGCGCCCACCTAGACGAAATCGGGACGGCGGCCAACCCCACGGCGGGCCTTGCGTCCGAGGCGGAATTTGCCCTGGCGCCCGCGGCGCCTTCCCCTAGACGCAAGGCCGCGCATCGGGACAAACGGTGCGGGGACAATACATGGCCGAGAGTACGACCAAGAAAATCATCATTTAAGGAACCTGGGCCAGCTTTATGGAAGTGCTTCGAGGCACCTGCGAGTGTTCGCGTTAGCGCTGGAAGTGCTTTGAGAAACCGGGCCAACTTTCTAGCAGGCTGGTCAAGAAACGGCGGCCCAGCTTTTCGGGAGGAGGTTTCTTGATCACATCCTCGACCGTACTCAAATATGGGATCGTCTACAGAATGGACTTACCCTGAATTGATTTGCATGTCGGATGCTTTTCTATTAAAAAGGTGGAACGTTCGAAGACCTGTGAGCGTTCTACGCCTCCTTGCGTGTACTCGACTGAAACAAAAACAAATATTGGGGTAAATTGATGTTGTAGTTCATCCCCTCCTCGGACGGGTGGCCGAAGGTCCGCGCGGACTCCGTGGAACGGACCTGGCGCCCCCCTCCCCCCCCGGCGCGCGGAGCGCGCCCAGGGGCGCGGCGCCGGAGGCGCCGCGCCGCAGGGGGGCCGGGCTCAGATCCAAGAGATCCGCGCAGGCCGTCGCGCAGAACACGCTTCGGAGCAGGGCGAGTGGAGCCAACCCCAGAGATCCGAGGCCCCCGCACAATTGGAGCAGCCTGTGTTCCTGTTCCTGGTTCTGCCGATCGGCGCGGGCCCTCGCGCCCCGCACTCCCCCCAAACCCGTGGAGTAGCTCTTGGCTGCTCTTGGCGCCTGCTTCGAGCAGGGGGAGTCTCCCACACAGGACGCACAGCTGCAAACAATCGCAGGAAGCAGAGCTCCGGGGCCAGACCACTTCCGCCCAATGCTGAAACGCCGAAAGATTAGGTCGGACATGTCCCCACACAGGGCCTACTGGGGAATTTTGGACGAAACTTTAAAAGATAGTCAACGCATGCCCCCAAACAATCAAACATATTCAAATAATCGTCGTCCTCAGAACATTGTTTGACTATTTTAAAATCTTCCTCCTGTAGAGGGACGTGCCCGACTTAAGCCCAATGTTGAAACGCCGAATAAGAAAACGTTCACATTGGAGCAGCCTGTTTGGGGTCACTTCGGGCTGCCCTGGGCCCTCCACGGGCCCTGGGGCCGTCGGAAGACGACTCGGGATGAAACAGCAGCCCAAGGGAAGTGGTCCAGACCTCCGGGGGCCCACGCACCGAAAAAATGAAGTGGCGTGATGTCTGGGATTATTTTGCTCCCATCGTACTTAAGGGCCACATCCCAGAAATAATTTCGAGCACCCGGAAACGTGTCGAAAGAGTGTCGAAACAGTGTCGAAATAGTGTCGGACGAGTGTCTCCCAGGGCCCGACACGTGAACACCCTTGAGTTTCGGTACCTTTTTTGGTGCTCGAAACTATTTCTTGCGATCAAGGCTGAAGTAGGTTGGAACATCACAAGTCTGGGACGGCAGCTCAAGATTGGTCACCGGATCCTCCCAGGGTCCAAACGCACGTGTGCTCCGAGCTTGTTGTTCAAACTCGCCCTCTGACTGTCTTTGCCGTGCCTGCCCCTCTTCGAGATGATCTCGGAGGCCCCGCTCTTCCAGCCGGCCGTGCAGGTGAAGAACTTGCCCAAGCCCTGGAACCCATCTATTATTATTCGCGCTAGCGCGCGTGACTGGCCTCCCCCACTCCCCCGACCCCTGGTCACGTCACGATTCGCGCCGCCGCCGTGTGGGAATGCGCCATCTCTATGCGTTCCCAGGCGGCGCTGGCGCGAATCGTGACGTAACTGGCCCCCATCCCCCCTCCCGACCCACCGGGTCACGCCCGTTATCGCCAGAGGATAATTGCGAGGCAAGGATTTACCCATATCCACCGCCTGGGAACCGACGTCCTGGTGTTCCAGCGGGCGGTGGATATGCATATATTTCGGCCCCTGGGGGGCCGAATATATCCATATCCACCGCCTGTGGAGGTCCGCGAAGATCGAAGCCCCAAGCGGTATATCCCCGCCGCGGAAAAAAGATATAGGCCTCCCAGATGGGGTCCGAGTAATGAAACAGTGTCGGCAAATCGTCGATTCGTAGGGAACGAAAGGGGGGATAGCAAAGGGTCGGGTAGAGAATCAGCTTACGCAGCTGATTTCCCCAGCGCCTCCCGGCGCCGGGAGGCGCCCAGGAATCGAGGCATGGGCACGGCGGCGAGGCCGAAACCAGCTGCGTGCAGCAGATGTCGTACCCCCCTTTCCTTATCCCCCCCCTTTCGTTCGGCCCGACCCAGCCCCCGGGCTCGTTTCGAGTCCTCCGATCCGATTCGACATCCGATCTCGACGGACTCCGACTCCGACTCGATTCGACTTTGGATTCCGGTTTGGATTACGAGTCCTCAATGCGGCATTGCTGCTCTGCTGGATTCCGCCGATTCGACTCCTCCCGACCTGGCTGCCGATCTCCGCCGACCCGATTAACTCCACCTTGCCCTGTTCCCCCCCTTCCATTCGGCCCGATCGATGCATCCTCACCCCCGGGGTCATGCCCGCTATTAGAGGCCTCCTAGATGGGGTCGGAGTAGATGGGGTCGGAGGATCGCGCCACATCGCTGATACATCGGCGATGCATCGGCGATGCGCCAGCAATTCATCGTCGTCGTGGGCGATGCCTGGGCGACGTCGACGTGAAGCACGTCGGGCTCGACATCGAGCCGCATCGGCGATGCATCGGCGATGCGCGGCGCGATCCCCCGACCCCATCCACTCGGACCCCACCTAGGAGGCCCAGAGTTGTCGCCAAGAGATGTGAGACAACGGCGTCCCTGGAAGTCCAGACCCTTTCCCCGGGGCCGGTTTTTCATCCTGAATCGTTTTTTGACGGTCCCGAGGCCCGGTAAGGGTGCCAGGGGCCGAAAATACGGAAAAACTTGCCGTCCTGATATTTTTTACCACGCGTTCATGTCTGGGACGGTTTCCGTGGGCGCACCAACTCTTGGGCCCGCGACGGCCCAAGGGTGGCCACGTCGCCCACCCGGGCCGGCCAGAAAGGGGGGGAGCTGTGGTCCTTACCCCCCCCGGGGGAACCCATCGCCTCGACGATCTCTGGAGAGGGGTGCCGAAATCGATGGGCCCCCCAGGGGGGTAAGGACCACAGCTCCCCAAGTTGTGGCTGGCCTGCCGTGGGCGCACCAGCTTCTGAGCCCGCGAGAGCCTGGGGTGGGCACGCCGCCCACCCGGGCCGGCCACGAGGCAGCTCCCGGGCCCGCGAAGGCGGCAGGCGGGGGCGCGGGGTCGGCTGCAGGCGGAGGAGGAGGAGGAGGAGGAGGAGGAGGAGGAGGAGGAGGAGGGGAGGGATGATGATGATGATGATGATGCTGATGATGATGATGATGATGATGGTGATGATGATGATGATGATGATGATGATGATGGTGATGATGATGATGATGAGGAGGAGGAGGAGGAGGAGGAAGAGGCGGAGGAGGTGGAGGCCCGGGGATCTCGGCGGGGAGTGGCTGGCCCCCGTTACACGTCGGTCGGAAGAAGTTGGTGTAAACACGAAGGAGGAAGGCGGATAGAAAGCAGATTGGGCTGAGCCTCTCCCAGAGAATAACACAACACATCGAAACCATGCCGACTCTTGCTGCAGGAAGGCATCAGAAGTAGATTGGGATCGAGGAATCCAGGAACAACTCCTTTCAACGACGGAGTTGCAGCACTGGCCCTTGTCACGTGAGCCCCGAGGTCTCCTGGAAGCCCCACCGGTTCTCCGCCCCGTCGCTGCGGATCAGCTGCGCCACGAGGAGCCCACCATAGGCCTCGTGGGCCTGGATGTCGAAGCGGACCAGCTGCGAGGAGTGCTGGTCCAAGACCCGCGCGTAGGCCTCGGCGGAACAGCAGGCTGCCTACAACACACACGTGGATAAGACATGCCAGAGTGAGAGGGTCGGACGGTCATTCACTGCCCCTGGGTGCGTGGCCGAAGTGGGATTCTGTTGACCCAGCTTCTTGTTGCTAATTGAGTTGTAACTTCTGTAAGGTCATTATGGTTGATCGCCCCCCACCGGTGCCCAATGTGGTTTTTGAAGTGCCCCTTCCAGGGCTCGCAACTTGTTCTTGCACAAAGGAAAACCTTGAGCCGCAGAAGTGGTAGTTGGCCAAGAAACTACAACAACGGCTCCCGACGGATACTTCCTCACAAGTTGTTCAGAACCGTGCTCTCGCGCGGGACTTCTTTACCATGTATTCAGGAATTTCACTCTCGCGTGGTATTCATTCGCATTCCATTGAAAAGCCGCACCCTCGACACTAAGGAATCACGCTCCCGCTGTTGACGTCGTAACGGTTTACTTTGGAATCGCGCTGTTGTTGTTGTTGTTGCTGTTATTGTTGTTGTTGCTGTTGTGGTTGTTGTTGCTATTGCTGTTGAACTCTCACTATCGAAGAATCATTATTATTGATTCCCCCCCCCTCCGGTTCACATTTGTTTCTTTTCCATTGAAGTGCCCCTCCCTGCGCTCGCACCCAGTTTTGTTTATCAGGGAAGTTCTTCCTCCTCAAACTGTGCCCCTGGCCCCCGGTTTACAACAGCAGCGGCTGGCGGCCCCCGCCGTCCCCCACCGTTCATTCAAAGCCGCGCTCTCGTGCTGAGATGTCCTACAACTCATATACGATCATGGCGCTCTCGCGCGAGACTTTCTTGCGCTTGGCTCAGGCATCGCGCTGCCGCTCGCGACGTCCCCGCGGCCGATGCGAGACCGACGCTTCAACCGCCCGCCCTCTCGGCCTGGCCGCCGGGGCCCGCCCGCCCGACCCCTACTGTCAGCTGCCGATGGGTCGCCTTCCCCCGATGGGCCAAGGACGAGGCTCCCGCGGCCGCCCCCGTCAGCGTCGGGGCGCCGCCGGCAAGACACCGAAACCCTCGAGAGGTACAGTCGGGGCGTTGACCTAAGGAACCCTAAATGAGGAACGAGGCCCCTTCTTTCCATGAGTTAAACTTCGATTTCCGATCGAAAATATAAGGAAAACCTGAGGCAAGCTGCGAAACACTTAAGGAAGGCGGAGCCCATCCCCAACGAAAAGGGTCCCTTCTTCAGAGCCCCAACAGTACACGGTGAGAGATCCTGCTGCGAGAGATCCTGGGGGGAAATGCCCGTCGTCGATCCAGGGCGTCTGTTGGTCCCCCGGGCAATCGGGAGATAAGATTCGGTCGGGCGTGTCCCCCTACAGGCGGACTCTGGATGAGAAGAACAAATAGTCGAACAATGCTCCCCACTAGTTAACAAATACTACACAAATCGACCCCAGACAATTGTTCGACCATTCTTGAATGTTTGCCTCCTGTAGAGGGACAGGCGCGACTTAAAGATAAGAAACTTCCGTCGGGAGCCGACTTGCAGGGCAAAATGTCTCCTTCGACGTGCCTCCTGTGCACTGTCGGGGGCCCGCGCGGGTTTTTTCGAATCGTCGTTGGGCCCCTCTCCACAGCGCGCGGCAGGCGGCAAGCGTTCGGGGTCCGCGCGAAGCGCTTGGATCGGCGACGGACCCCCCTTCCCTGGCGGGCAGTACGCACAAATTTCCGGAGGCGCGGTGGGCATGCATTTGTGGTGGTCAGCGTGGGCTTCTAAATCGGCGCTGAACCCCCACCCTGGCGCGCGGTAAGCATAAACTCTCGGAAGTCCGCGCGGGTAACTCGGATCGGCGCCGCCAGCAGGGTCTGACGCCGATCGAAAAAATCTGCGCGGACCTTCGGGAACGTCTGCTTCTGTAGTTTGTCCTTCCGAGGCCTTCTCGACAAGCTCGAAAGTACCGTTAAAGACGGTCAGAACGATGAATATGCGGGCCACCTTGCTCGGGATTTTGGCCAGGTCGATGGTGATGGCCTCGTCGTCCCCCATGCTCTCGTGGCCGACGACGCTGTCCCCGCTGTGCTCGACGCCGAAGAGCGAATGGTTCTCGCCTGGGATGCAGAGGTGAAGGGGCCCTGGGACACACACACACACACACACACACACACACACACACACACACACACACACACACACACACACACACACACACACACACACACACACACACACACACACACACACACACACACACACACACACACACACACACACACACACACACACACACACACACACACACACACACACACACACACACACACACACACACACACACACACACACACACACACACACACACACACACACACACACACACACACACACACACACACACACACACATAAATAGACACAAATAGCAGGATTCCCAAAAATACATATATATATATATATATAATGTTTTTTTTTTTTGTCATCCCCCCCATTGCCCATATTTTCCTATGTTTTCTGGGGGAATCGGCGATTGACTGTGTCTGTGTGTGCTGTTTTCCCCTCCTGAACATCAGCGATGTACGCCCCCCCCTTGGGAGGCGCACGTCCGCACCGCAACCAAGCTCGAACGCATCCCTATCCCGATGGCGGGCGCAAGCCACAAGCGATGACGATCTTGGCGCCCGAGTTATCCGGGGTAACTCGGGCCCGGGGCAACTCGGGTTCGGATTCCCGAAAAACGAACCCGAGTTAGCCCTGACCCGAGTTACCCCTGATGATTCGGATCTCTGGGGATGTGCTCCCAGAAACGGCAGCAATCCTCAAGATCGTCATCGAGGCAGGGTGCTGCCAAGCATAGGGGCAACATGGAGATGCTTCAAACTTGAACAGGGGCCGACCGTCCCGGCATTCTTATAGTCCTACCACGAAATGTTCTTAGAACCCAGAAATTCTCGAATAACAAAAACAAGGTTCTTAGAACATAAGCCCGATGTGTCTTGAAACAAGACAGACTCCGCCAGAAATGTTCTGAGAACATGTCGTGGGAACCACACAAGGATCTTAGAACATTGTCTGGTAGGGCTATGGGCACGCCGGGACGCTGCGCCACCGCTAGATTTCGGAGCTCCGCGTGGACTTCCTAGATCTGCGCCGCACCCCCTTCGCTGGCGCCGACGCCACGGGGGCCCCGCGGCGATGCCACGAGGGCCGGCGCCGTGGGCAACGCCACGGGGGCCCGGCGCCGATGCCACAGGAAGCGCGCGGAGTTCTGAGCTCTTTATGTGAGTATGCCGATTTCCCTTCTTCGGAATCCGCTTCAGCACCGCGTCGATCCGCGCTGCGCCCCCTTCGCTGGCGCGCGGACCGCGCCAGGGGGCCGGCGCCGGAGGCAGCGCCACGGGGGCCCAGCGCCACGGGGGCCAAGCACGCCGGGACGCGTCGCCACTGCTTGACAAACTGGCAACATGTAGCACAAGCCTTATGTCGGGCGTGTCCCCATACGGGGGGATTTTCGACGAAAACATTGTCAAAACATAGTCTGGGGACTATTTTTCGAGTATGTTTTGACCTTTTTGGAATATGTTTGGGGTATTTTTCATTTTTCGTCGACAATCCCCGTGTAGGGGGACACGCCCGACATAGCACAAGCCTGTGGAAACATATCGCTGCCCAAGCGGTGGGACCCGCGAGCGCCGGCCATCGGGCGTGCACTGCAGGCTTTCCGAGCGCGCGCGTCGCCCCGAAGGGGGGCCGCCGCACACGCAGTTCAGGAGCCTGATCTTCTACCACCTCCTCGTCCTCCTCCTCTTCCTCCTCCTCCTCCTCCTCCTCCTCCTCCTCCTCCTCCTCCTCCCCCTCCGCCTCCCCCTCCCCCTCCTCCTCTCCTCCTCTCCTCCTCTCTCTCTTCCTCCTCCTCCTACTCTCCCACCTCCTCCTCCTCCTCCTCCTCCTCCTCCTCCTCCTCCTCCCTCCTCCCTCCTCCTCCTCCTCCTCCTCCTCCTCCTCCTCCTCCTCCCTCTCCTCCTCCCCCTCCCCCTCCTCCTCCTCCTCCCTCTCCCCTTCTCCTCCTCCTCCTCCTCCTCATCCTCCTCCTCCGCCTCCTCCTCCGGTAACGGTAGTTACCCAAGGAGGGTGGGTAGGGGGGGTTGGGGCCCTGGGTGACTAACGCTTGGGCGAGGTGGGGCACGTCGGGGCGGGGGTGCGCTGCGATCGCGAACAATGGGGGGACCCGACCCCCCCCCCCCACACATACGATCGTTGTCGTTATACCAGGTGGGGGGGGGAAATGGTCTGGGTAAGGACCATGACGAGCGGGGGTGCGCTGCGATCGCGAAAAATGGGGGGACCCGACCCCCCCCCCCCACACACACATACGATCGTTGTCGTTATACCGGGTGGGGGGGGGGAAATGGTCTGGGCAAGGACCATTACGCGCCAGAGGATTAGCAAAAACAATATCTGGGTGGTGCCGATCGCCGTCCACCGCGCCGATCACGTGCCCGTCGCTGTCGCAGAACACGGCCTCCGCGTCGATGTCCACCTCCTCCACCTGGCAGGAAGGCCCACAATCGAATCGATAAGTCCGATAGGCGATCGAAATGAATCGGATTGGCGGGAATCAGCAGCCAAGACGGGAGATCTCGAATCGGCGGAGATCGGCGAGCTAGCCAAGCCTCCACGGAGAAACTGACATCCAAATCGGAATCCGAAGTCGACTCGAGTCGATGTCGGAATCGATCGAAGCGATTCGAAGCGAGTCGGAGGGAGCGAAGTGAACCCTGACCTGGGAGGGAGACAACGAGCCGCCGATGCCCACGAATATCCTTTAGAAAGAAACACCGGCATACACGTCTGCGTCACCCAGCTCCGCGCATCGCGCCCCACGAGGGGCGACGCGCCGTTGCCTCCGCGCCCTCGCGCCCACGTCAGCGAGGGCAGCCGCTCTGGCCCACCTCGCGGCGCGCAGAGCGAGGTTGTCTTCGCGCACTCGGGTCTCGACGTATCAGCTTTCGTTGAGCAGGGACCGACCGTCCCAGCATTCCTATGGTCCTACCAGGAAACGTTCTTAGAATCCAGAAATCTTCTTATAACAAAAATCAAAGTTCTAAGAGCATGAACCCGATGTGATAAAACAAGACAGACTCCGCCAGAAATGTTCTAAGAACATGTCGTGGAAACCACCAAAGGTTCTTAGAACGTTGCTTGGTAGGGCTATGGGCACGCCGGGACGCTGCGCCACCGCTAGATTTCGGAGCTCCGCGCGGACTTCCTAGATCTGCGCCGCACCCCCTTCGCTGGCGCCGATGCCACGGGGGCCCCGCGCCGATGCCACGAGGGCTGGCGCCGTGGGCAACGCCACGGGGGCCCGGCGCCGATGCCACAGGAAGCGCGCGGAGTTCTGAGCTTCTTACATGCGTATGCCGATTTCCCTTCTTCGGAATCCGCTTCAGCACCGCGTCGGCGGGGAAGGTGGCCACGGAGCCCTTGTCCATGACGAAGGAGATCTTCTGGAATGCTGGGGCCGTAGGAATCTCGGCGCCTTAGCTGCCCCGATACCCAGCACGCGGCCCGTTGCGTGTTGGCACGGAGCTCAGCGCGTGTGTCGAAACACGCAGGTCTAGCGCGATACGTTCGCGAACACGTGGGCCCACGCGTGCCGAGCCCAACACGCAACGTGCTCAACCCAGACGTCTTGAACAAGGTAACGTGGGTTGACGATCAATAAAAAAGGGAGAGAACGATTAACAAACATAGTTTCCTGCTATTTCTGCACAATTTTCTGGCTGGAGGAGAACGATCAAAAAATAGTTTTCCAACCCGCGGCCGGTTTTTTAGAATCGTCATCCCGGGCGCCGCCGCGTGAACACGACCCCCCGTCATGTATTAATCTGAAGGGGCCCTGAGACACAAAAATAAGTACACAAGGATAAACATATTCCCCATATTTTCCTATAGTTTCTGGGTTCCTGTCTTCCCCCCCAATCCCCATATTTTCCCATATTTTCCTGGGAGTGGACGATTAATTGTGTCTGTGTTTTTTCCCCTCCTGATAATCGTCATCCTCCATTACGTGTTTCGTTTCAACACGGGCATCATGGCAGCTGAGCCCGGCTCGGATGACGTCGCCGATCCAGGGCTCGATGATGTCCACGAAGTGGGACCCGAACTCGGCGGGCTCGTCGATCTCCTTGAAGGCCCAGCCGCCCTCCCTGGTGCGCTTCACGAGGCCCACCACGTCGGCGTTCGCGACGCTCCTCTCGATGTTGAAGACCTGCATCTGCTTGTTGGTTGATTCGATCCATGATCTAAACTTGCGCGCGACTTCTTGGATCCACGGTGGGCCGCGGTGGCCGCCAGAGGCGCCACCGGTGAACCAGCGCGTTCCACTACTCGTGAGATATCTCCTCGCGAGTGGCCTGGATCCGTGACGATACATTACGTCGAGGCAAGCATGTGTTTTTTGTCTGACGCTTTCGAGTAAGCGCTTTGCGAGTAGAGGAGCGCGCTCTGTATCAAGGGGGCCCATCGCCGAGCCAAGAGCCCGTGCGGATCTTCGACCAATAGTTTATGCAGCCGTTTCGTCTTCGGAGACCTGCAGCCGGTTCAGGGTCGTGCCCTCCATCAGCACCACCCGCCCGTTCTGCACGTCCTTCAGGCGGCTCCCCTTCGAGAAGGCGCACACCACGAAGATGGCCCCCCAGATCTCCTCCGGGACATGCGCCAGCGAGATCCAAACGGACTCGTCCACGCCTTCGGACGCCCCGTTGGAAACGTCGCCCGAGTGCGTGATTGATCCCTTCATGGAGGTGAGGTTGTTGTAGTACACGGTGTCCACGATGATCCCCTCCCTGTTGACAATCACGGCCTGCAGGTCCAAGTCGTGAAGTTTTTCCATGTCGTCCCACTCGATGCCCACGCCGTAGTTGCCGTTGGCTTTCTCGAGGGCGACGATTTTCTGGGGCTTCCTCCGAGGGTGAACGATCGGGGGCACTTGCTCTGTGCGGGACACATCGAGTCGGAGTCGGCGATGCATCGCCAATCGATCGGCGATAGACCCCCGCCAGCTAAACCGCACGCTCCTGGGCGGGGTGGGCTATCGGGCCCCGATCGACGATGAGTTGGCCATTGGGGGCCGATGCGTACCCCCGTGAGCAGATCACCCCGCCCCACGTTGCCCCTCATCAGGGGTCCCCCCCCCTAGACTTAGGTCGGGCGTGTCCCCCTACAAGCGGATTGTGGACGAAAAATTAAGAAGACCCTAACAATATTCAAACAGTACTCAAATCGGTAGAAACAACAAATCATCCCCTGACAATGTTGTTGACTATCTTTGGATATTCCCCCTTGTAGAGGGACAGGCCCGACTACAGCCTAGACATCTCCTGGGGTGCGCCCAGGCAACCTCGGGGCGAACCCGAGGAGGAGGAGGAGGAGGAGGAGAAGGAGGAGGAGGGGACCAGGAGGAGGAGGAGGAGGATGAGCAGGAGAGGAGGAGGAAGAGGAGCAGGAGGAGGAGGAGGAGGAGGAGGCGGAGGAGGAGGAGGAGAAGGCAGCCACATGGCCACGAGGCCGCCCAAGGAGGCCAACCCCTCCCCCAAAAAACGGGGGCGACGCTCGAAGCCTCGAACCTCTGAGCCCCCCCCCCTGCAGTTAGGTCGGGCATGTCCCCCCTACTTGGGCGAAAAATTAGAAACACGCAAGATGCTCAAACATAGGCCCAAAAATACGCAAAACCTCGTCCCCTGACTATGTTTTGACTGTTTTCGAAGATTCCTCCCGTAGAAGGACGCGCCCGACTTGACAAGATCGTTGCCGAGACGACCTCGACGGCGACGCCGGCGACCACAGTCATTTGGCGGCGAGCGCGGGGGCCTTGTCAGACGGCTCGGAAGTCTCCAGGCCTCCTGAGAAGCTTCCTACAAGCCTTCCCCGGCGACGCAGAAAACTCCTCGGAGGGCGCGAGGGCCTCCGAGAAGGCCCGCCGCCTTCTGAGAAGGCCGTCTCCTTCTCATTCCCCCGCCCTCGCTCGCCGCCGAGTTCAATTTTCGGGTCATAACTCGGGCCTCCGGCGGCCGTTCGGGACGATCCGAGCACCCCTGGAACGCCCTCGGCGAGGCGCAGCCGCCGGAACGCATCCCGAGGGCGGAACACCGCCAGGAAACGACGCAAACGCCCGAAAGCCTAGAGCCTCGAAGTTCGAACCTCGAATTCCCCCCCCCCCTCGCTCGCCGCCAAGTCACGACGGGGACGGCGAGCACCACGGCGGCGGCGGCCGAGGCGACGCGAGGCCACGACGCTGGCGGCGACTGCCGCCGACGCGCCGAGAGCGGCGGCAGCACCGCTCCGGGACTGAAGCCGGACCTGTCCCTACAGGGGGATTTTGAGCGAAAATACCCTCCCTCCCCAAAAGGAAGGCAATGCATACTCCAAAATGATCAAGAACTTATATATATACCAAAGGCAAATACATACCCAAAAGGCAATACATACCCCAAAATGGTGAATACACCCCCCCCTCCAAAAAAGGAAATCGTCCCCCGACTATGTTTTTGAGAACTGCTTCTGAACATGCCTCCCGTAGAGGGACAGGCCCGACTGAAGGCAACGGCGGCGACACGCCGAGGGCGACGGCAGCACCGCTCCCGGACCCGCGACGTCATGCTTTTCCTCGCGTCGACCCCCAGAGGGTTTGAACCATTCGAGGAGGAGGAGGAGGAGGAGGAGGAGGAGGAGGAGGAGGAGGAGGAGGAGGGGAGGAGGAGGAGGAGGAGGAGGAGGAGGAGGAGGAGGAGGAGGAGCCCAGGACCATGATGTTCCAAGCTACTCTCGCCTTGAGCACCAGAAAGTGCCGAAGCTCGAGGGTTTTCACGTGCCGGGCCCTGGGAGGCACCCGTTCGACGCTGCCTCGACATACTGTTTCGACGCTTTTCTCCGGGTGCTCGAAATCATTTCTGAGATGTGGTCCTTAAGTACGAATGGAGCAACACAACCCCAGGACTGAGCATCGTGTATCCGACCCCCATCCCCAGCGGCCTGGCCTGGGCCCCACTGGCCGATTTGCCCCCCGGGAGGGGGATGTAGGCCGGTCCCTTCGGGTTGTTTCGAGGGGTGTATGCCCCAACTGGCGTGGTAGTTTGGTGGGGCCTCGAGGGGGATGAGGATGGGGATCGGTGAAAGGATGCTGACAGGACAGCTGTTTTCGGGAGCGGCCAAGAAGGGGGTGTCCAAGAGGGGGGGTGCAAATCATGACCGGCGGCATGTGCGCGGCCCAGCGGGGGGGCGAGGGACGTAATGAAACAAGAAGAGGCGCCAGGAAATCTGTGGAAATATCATGCCCCCCGCCATGATATCCACCCCCCCCCCAGTCATCACCCCCCTCTTTGAGGATGGGGATGTAAAACAGGGCTAGGATCGGGATAAATCGCTCCAGAGCGTTCCGGAGCGCTCTCAGAGCGTTCCGGAACGCTCTGGAGCGGCCGCGGTGCCCAATACATCCTCCAAACCCGCCGATTCTCAGAGATTTCGAGTTCTCCCGATCCGATTTTGTCCCGATCTTCGCGTCGTTTTAGGATGGGGATCGGCGAAGCGATGCTGACAGGTCAGCTGCTTCGGCGCCCGAGTCGTTTCTGGTCGACGGTCCCGAGGCCTGGCACGGGCCAGCAGCAGGGGCCGGCAGACATGGCGAGCAGCCTGCCGCGTCTGGGGATCTCTTCGTTGCTCGAGGGGCTCGAAAAGGGGGCCTGGGACCCCCCTCTTGTCTTAAGTCGGGCCTGTCCCCCTACAGGGGGATCTTCGACGAAAAAAACTACAGAAAAAATAATCAACAAATAATGCAACAATAATCTGGGGGTCATTTTTTGAAGATTTTTTGACTTTTTTGAATTATTTTTCATTTTTCGTAGAAAATCTCCCTGTATGGGGACACGCCCGACATAACTCTTGTCGGGGACGCACTCTGGCCCGGGCCCACGCAGCCTCGGGCCAGGCACTAGGAGAAGAGAACATGCCACGAAGGTAACCTCTCGCGCGGATTTCCTGGATCTGCGCTGGACCCCTCTCCCTGGCGCGCAAGGAGCGCGCAGGGGGCGGCGCTGGAGGCGCCGCCAGGGGGCCCCAGAGCGGATCCAAGAAATTCAGCGCGGAACGCCAGGACTTTTTGCTTATGGATTTATGTACTCTTCGAAAGCAGGCCCAGCAGGATCCCGCGAGGACTCGAGTCTCGAAGGGGGTCCCCGACAGTGGACGCAATGGCCCGGGTCCATGCAGCCTCGGGCCAATCAGGCCCTGCAGGATCCCGCAAGATCCTGCAGGGTCCTGTGCGCTGGCCGGGGTCAGTGCAGCCCTGGCTTTAAGTCGGGCGTGTCCCCCTACAAAGGGATTTTGGGCGAAAAATAAAAGCACTCACCAAAAATACCCTAACATAGTCAAAACAAATACCAAACATCGTCCCCCGAGTATTTTTTCTATGTTTGAATCGTCCTCCTGTAGAGGGACAGGCCCGACGTAACCCTGGCTCTGCAGGATCCTGCAGGGTGCGGCGCCCTGGCTGACCCCCGTTTGCGTTGAGCCCCGTCTCGAGTAACAGGGAATATATCAACACACATCCCAGGCTTTGGGAGATTCTCGAATGGCCCAAAAATTTGGGGCCCAACCCTGAGATATACAATCGGGGGGCGCCCATCCTCGATAGGGGTGCGTCCGAAGAGCCCCCTTGGGGTGTATCCCAAGGTTCCCCCCTTTTTCTGAACAGGGAGATTTTTCAAGCCGAACTCGGGGATTGGTCGAGCAGGGGATCGACTGCAAAATAAAATACACCTACCGCAAAGATGACGAAAAACATGTACGTAATGATTGTCGAACTTCCGAAACTGCGACGTACTCTTCGTGGACTCGACGCAAAGATCAGTCCGGGATAAATCATTCCTGTAGTCGATCCCCTACATTGACTTGGGGGAGAAAGATCGCCTGCGATCGTGGCTCTCGACTCTGTCGGGGACATGCTCACCGGGGTCAATCTAGACCCGGGTATGTCAGGCCTTGCAGAAGACTGCAACTTGGACGCCCGAAATGGGTACGGAAAGAATGGACACAAGGCCCAGCAACACATGTTGTCCAACATCCACAACGGCCGCTGTTGGGCAGGCGGCTTTCTGTCTTCAAAGAACGTCCGTGGCGGCGAGGGCAGCGAGCCCGGCTCAACATGAACAGAAACTGCTGTTGGGCATCGGCACCCACTCTTCCCGTACCCATGTCGATCGTCCCGATGCAACATCCCGCAACATCCTGCCGCATCCTGCGCCCAATTGCCCGGGTCCGTGCGGCCCCGGCCCCGCAGGCTCACTGCACGACCCGGCGCCCTGGCGGACCCCCGTCGGCAGGGACCCCCGCCTGTGGAGCCCCGGCCCTGGATGGTTCTCGTCTTCTTTACAATGTTTGCATGTTTGGTCGCTCTCTGGTCCTGGGCTTCTTGCTCGGCATGGCCGCGCGCGCGCCGCCGCGAGCGCGCCGCGCGGGCCGCGGGGGGGGGGGGTCGAGGGGCGGGGGCGGCGCGGCAAGGCTCGATCCCTGGCGGGGCTGCGGTCAGCCCGCGCAGTTAAGGACGCCTTCCTTCCTCCCCCCCTCTTCGCTCCTGCGCGCGCGTCTGGCGGCGCGCACGAGGGGGTGGAGGGAGGGGGGAAGGCTTCTTAGAAGGAGGCTGCTTCTTAGAAGGCACTGGCCTTACATCTTAGAAGGCGCTGGCCTTACATCTACATCTCCGTACATCGATGGGGTAGGGGGGACGGGGGAAGGCTGTTTCCAGAAGAAGGCTGCTTTTCAGAAGGCGCCGGCCTTCCAGGCTGCAGATGAAACCCGCGACGTCTAAGAAGCAGGGGTGCTTCTAAGAAACCCTCCCCTCTCCCCCCACCCCCGTCTGCGCGTGGCCGACGCCGCGTGCAAGAGGGAGGGCCGTGCCATGGCTACTTTCGCCCAGGCCATTCTGAAGAGCCGGCGAGACCGGCGAAAACTAAAACGTACCACTGGTAACAAAACAATGTCCCATCATACAGGTCACAAATTTGAGATTGTCAAGTGCTGTCTTGTGCAACTGCATAACATAAACATTTGGCGCTCCGCGCGGGCTTCTTGGATCTGCGCGGGACCCCCCTCCCTGGCGCGCGGAGCGCGCCGGGCCGGCGACATGGGGCACTTGCAACCCGCTGGTAAGCCGGCTAGGACAGGTAAAACCCACCATGGCATCCACTGACAACCCCCTTATCCCCGAAGCCTCCCCTGCACGGATCCCAATATCCTCGTCCCTGGTGGTTTTCGGGCCATAACTTGGGCCCCTGGCGGCCGTTCGGGACGATCTGGGCACCCCCGGAATGTCCTCGGCGAGGCGCAGCTGCTGGAACGCATCCCGAGGCTGAAGAAATGCCCAGATCGGACGAACGCTTTCGAAAAACTCTAACCTCGGTCTCGAATCTCGGACCTCGAACCTTAATACCTCCCGCGCCGATCCTGCGGGGACAGCAAGCGACCACAACCCTGGGGATGTTCTGCGCATCCCCACCAACCGTCAAAACACCGAAATCAGCTTAGTGCTGTTTGTGGTCGATGTGGGCGTCCCAGACGGAGAAGTCGCCCACAACCACAACCAAAGTGTTCCTGTCGAGGCTGGTGGGTTGTCCCCCGAGGGGCCCGCCAGAACAATCCAGTAAGACGTGGTTGTGGTTCCTTGCTGCGCTCGGGAAATCTCATAATGGGGACGGCGGCGTCGCACAACCAACGGGCGGCGACGACGCCGACGACGACGACGCCGACGACGTCGCCGATGACGAAGACGACGACGACAACGACGACGACGACGATGACGAGGACGACGATGACGTGAACGAGGACGACGAAGACGACGACGACGACGACGACGACGACGAGGACGAGGACGTCGACGTCGACGACGACGCCGACGTCGACGCCGACGACGACGCCGACGACGCCGATGACGACGCCGACGCCGACGAGGACGGCCGGCCGACGGGCGAGCCCGCGGCCTGGGCGCGCACGCCCGCGCAGGCCGCGGCCGCGCAGAGCGCGTCGCGGGGCGCGGGGTCCTGCCGCCCCGGGAGGCGCGCGACGGCCAGAGGCGGCGAGAAGGGCGGCTGGCAGACGGCGACCGCATCGGGGCGGAAACCCTGAGAGGAGCGCATGGTGGGCCGGCTTTCCACCACCGCTGCCACAGGTCATGGGTGGCAGAGGGCGGAGGAGGAGGAGGAGGAGGGGGAGGAGGGGGAGGAGGAGGAGGAGGAGGAGGAGGAGGAGGAGGAGGAGGAGGAGGAGGAGGAGGAGGAGGAGGGAGGAGGAGGAGGAGGAGGAGGAGGAAGAGGAGGAGGGAGGAGGAGGAGGAAGAGGAGGAGGAGGCAGAGAGGAGGAGGAGGAGGAGGAGGAGGAGTGACGTGACCAGAAGTGACCATGAAAGGACGAGCGTCCGCAAAACTAAACGGGTTAGGCGGGGACTAATCCGACGATGAGTCCCCGCCTTCACGGTGAGGGATCCTGGTGGGTCGGCGAGCCGCTCCACCCACACCTCCCACACAGAAAAGGGGCTGCTGCATTCCACTCTCCTCCCGAGCCTCCCTCGCACGCTGGACCGCGTCCGAAGCTTCACGCTGCACTCTGGCCAGCTGCACCGCCTTCGGGGGTCCCCTGTGCGAAGGAAAAATGCCTCGACGAATCCTGTCAAGGTTCTGGGCTCCTTTGGGGGAGGGCTCCTGGCAAGGACGTGCGAGCCACCTACCATCCACTGTGGCGGTCAGCCCACAACAAACACAAAAATGCAGGGAAAACTCAGGCCAATAGAAGATTTTGTGGGACGAGGAGGAGGAGGAGGAGGAGGAGGAGGAGGAGGAGGAGGAGGAGGAGGAGGAGGAGGAGGAGGAGGAGGAGGATGGAGGATGGAGGATGGAGGATGGAGGATGGAGGAGGTGGAGGAAGAGGACCTCCCCATCCTCCCATCTCCCCTGATTTGCCTATGGTGTCGGTGGTGGAAAATTGGCCAATCAGCACAGGGCCCAGGCTAGGGGCGACTGGCTGGGGTGCCGTGTGCAAGCAAGCGCGCGCCCTCCCGCTCAGCAGCGCGGCCTGCCCCGCCGACAAGGGGCAGAGGACAGGGCGGAGGAGGCAACTCCGCGGACACTCGGGCCCTAGGGTTCGGTCGGGCGTGTCCCCCCCACAGGCGGCTTTTTTGTGCAAAAATAGTTCCCCAACGTATCCAAAACTGTTCAAGAATGGTCGAACAATCGTCCCCCGACTCTCTTTTTTAAAAAACTATGTTTGAATATTCCTCCTTCAGAGGGCAGGCCCGACGTAACCCCTGGAGGTGCAGCAACGCCCACCCCGGAGGGCCGTGGCGCACCCGCACCCCGGCCGCCAGCTCAGAAGCGTGGCCGTGGCCGCTGCGCCTTCCGCCCGGGACGCCCCGAGACTTGCCGTCGCTCGGACGTCCCTTTCCTGTGCGTTTTTGTTCGGTCTTGTGCGCGTTTTTCTTGCTCGAGGATCCAGGATGCCCTTAGAGGGTTCTCGCCGAGAAAAAATGCACACGTTTTTCGGATTTGTGTGTTTTTCTTGCTCGATGATCCAGGATGCCCTTGGATGGTCCTCGCCGAGAAAAAAGTTCACACGGCCGAGCGATGCCGGGGAGCACCTGGCGCCTCGACTGCTTCGGGCCAGGCGTCCTCGCCTGGCCTCGGGCCCCGGGGGCACCCTCGCGGCTGGATATCCGCCTCGGGACATATGGCGCAGAGAGGTGGGGGCGCCGGGGCCCTGGACGCGCATCCTCCTCCTCCCTCCTCCCTCCTCCCTCCTCCCTCCTCCCTCCTCCCTCCTCCTCGTCCTCCTCCTCCTCCTCCTCCCTCCTCTCCTCCTCCTCCTCCCCTCCTCCCTCCTCCCTCCTCCTCCTCCCTCCTCCCTCCTCCCTCCTCCCTCTCCCTCCCTCCTCCTCCCTCCTCCTCCTCCTCCTCCTCCTCCTCCTCCTCCTCCTCCTCCTCCTCCTCCTCCTCCTCCTCCTCCTCCTCCTCCTCCCTCCTCCTCCGCCTCCGCTGCGTCGGATGCGCGGGATGGCCAGAGGCGGCCACCGGGCGACGAGCGGACGACGAGCGGCGACTTCGACGCGTCTCGTGAGCTTCGTGCTGCAGGCGACGCCAGGCCCCGACGCCGCCGGGGCTGGAGCTGGTCGCGTGCGGTCGTCGAGAGTTGTCCTGGAGTGTCCTGCCATTCGAGCGACGCTCGGAGTCCATACCTACAGGCGTGCGACCACCACGGCGGCGGCGACGACGAGGAGCGGACGACGCGACAGAGACGAAAACGACGAAGACGGCGGCAACGACGACGACGACGACGACGACGACGACGACGGCGGCGGCGGTGGAGGCGGCTACAGCGAGTGGAAGACGGTAGCGAGGATCCCCTTCGCCCCTCCCCACCTTCCCGCCCTGACTGGAGCCCCTCCCTTTCTGCCTATCTGGGACGCGCCAGGCCCGTGAAGACGCCGACGCCGACGACGTCGGCGAGGGCGGCGACTTGGCATGAAAGGAGCGGGCCCTGAAGGAAACGGGCCCTGGATGCCAGGGGCTTGCCCCAGGACCAGTTCTTGATCCTGGGTCTTGGGCGGGAAACAATTGGGAGCGACTAGTGGGGGGCAGCGAGGGCTACCAAAAAAGGGCCCTTTAGGGCCCCTGAAGGAGCCCTTAGGGCCCAAGAGGGGCCCTCTGGGGCCCGAAAAGGATACATTTGTTCCTCCCAATTTATCGCCCCGCCCATACTTTCGCGGCCAAAAGTTGTTTTGCTGGCGGTCCCCCGGAGGGCCCGTGCAGACGAGATCTACGAGAAACTCCGAGGACGGCGGCGGAGACAAACCTTTGGACCCGCGTTTCCCTCACAGTGCCCGTCCCTCTCGTTGAGAACATCCGCGGAGGCGGCAACAACGGCGGCGGCGAGCACAGGCAGTCGACGATGGGCTTTCTCGCAATGCGCGACCCCAGGGATTCCGACCCCTTCCACAACGGCAGCGTCCCATCCTGGAACGATTTTTTTCATGGCCCCTGGGGTCCTACAGCGGGCCCCGGACCCGAACCAGAGGAACTCACGCTTGGAGGGAGGATGTCGACGACGACGACGACGACGACGACGACGACGACGGAAGCGACGGCGACGACGATCGGGAACACGCGAACATAGCTCACGGACACGTGGATCTGGCGCGGAGACGCCAAATCGATGGATCGGGGAAAGTACCCGCCGAAACATGAGGCCAATGCCGCCTGATTTGGCGACGGAGCGCGGCAATTTTCTGCACGGAAGCGGGACCCGTCGCTAATCCACGCGCCTTACTCCTTGGCAACTTGAGCGAGGCGGTTGGCTTCTTGAGGGGCAGGTGCCTTCTTAGACGGGACTCGCGGCTTCTAGGAAACCTTCACATTTACAAGATGAATCACAGCCAGCGCGGATTTCTTGGACCCGCGCTGGGCCCCCCTCCCTGGCGCGCGGAGCGCGCCAGGGGCGGCGCCGGAGGCGCGGACGCAAGAACTCCGCGCGGAGAACCACACGTTTATGTTTATGGCGTTATTCTGATTATTGTGTTTTCTTCTTCTTCTTCTTCGAATATATGAAGCCTCTGGGCCCCTCGAAGAAGGCCCCTGCCTCCTTGGAAACCCGCAGCTCTGTTGGGAAGGCCCCCTCCCTCGCGTCGCCGCTCCGTGGGCGCCGCCACACGTCGGACTCGAAGGCACAGACGCTGCTGCTCCCCACATCTCTCCAGCAGGGCTGGACTGGAACGCTGCTCTTCTTTGTGTTGTCGCTTGGTTGTTCGTTTTGCTCGACCTGCTTTCCTGTGCCTCCCTGCCAGAACGAAAAACAAAACACAGCCGAAGTCCTGCAAAACAGCGTTTAGGTCCAGCCCTGGTCTCCAGGGGCGTGTCCTGACCAGAATCTCGAGGCGAAGACAGCCGTGACAACGAGGGCACTCCAGGAAGCTCAAGACTACCATAATGAGGGTATGGAGAGGCATGAGCATGCGTACCCCTGCATCCTCCAACCCCTGAGCCTGTCCCCCCCCGGAGTCGTCGACAACGGCGACGTGTCCTCGCTGTCCAGGACTGGAAAAGCGCATCGATCGTCGGAGATCGGGGAAGACGCCGACGCCGACGCCGACGCCGACGGCTACGATGGCAACAACGACTCGACCGCGTCACGGAGATTGCCTTTCTATCATGGCCAGTGGCGGTCGTCACTCCAGGGGAAGGGGGGCATGTCCCCTTGCAGACTGATTTTTTTGGACGGATACTGAAAAATCCAGAACAAATATGAAAAGGTAGCCAACAAAATATTAGAAAGATCGTCCCCAGACTATTGTTGGACTATGTTCGAATCTTCCTCCTGTAGAGTCGGCGGTGGACAAACCTCCCTCTAATAAAACCTCCCCCTAGTGAAACCGGCCTGGGACCGAAGCCGACAGACCTGGACCCGCAAAAATGACGGCCGCGACGCCCTCTCGCGAACCGAAAACGGCCAATTCCTTCATCGACGCGTCAGGGTAGGAGGTCCATCCACCTCCGATAGAGGGACATGCCCGGCTTAAATCGGGCCGGGCGACAAGGGGGGATAAAAAAGGGGGGTTTGAGAATCAGCTCACGTAGCTGATTTTCCCAGCGCCGCCCGGCGCCGGGAGGCGCCCGTGTATCGAGGAATGGGCGCCAGGCGGCGGGGCCGAAACCAGCTGCACGCAGCAGATTTCGTAACCCCCCCTTTCCCTATAAAGCTCCGGGGGGGAGGGGCTTTGGGGCCCCGGGCAGCGGCGGGCGCGGTTGCGAAAGAGCACACAAGAGCCTGCGGTCTCGCGCGCCCGCGCGCGCGGGGGGCCCAGGCCCTTTTGCGCCCCCCCTGGCCAGGGCTCGAGTTAAACCGTGTTTTCCGTTTTCGTTTTGTTTTCGTCGTCCCTAGTTCTGTCTTCGCTCCACCATTGCTGCAAAACGAACACAAAAGGAAAACGGTCCACGGAATTGCCAAAACACCGTTTAGCTCGAGCCCTGCTGGCTGGGATCGGCGCGGCGGCTGCTCCGGGGCTGCTCCAGGGATCGCTGGTGCCTCTGCAATCGGGCCGAGGTCTATGATCGAGGTCGTGTCAAGGAGGGTGCCCTACCGCTCTCCGTTCTTGCTCGATGCGCTTCCGTATACCGGGGGAGGGCACCCTCAAATGTTCTCTTCAGTTGTCGGGGGCGCGCAAACATGGATTGGCGATCCATGGATTTGGCGCGCGGTCGCCACATCCATGGATCGGGGGAGGTGCCCTGCCCAAGATGCGGCCCGTGCGGCCTCGTTCGGCGGCGGATATCCGCGATTTCCCATGGAAACGGGACCCGTCGCTAATCCACGCCGCCTTAATCCATGCTTGCGATCGCCTGAGATAGGGGGGGGGATAGCATTAGGTCGCGTCCCCCTACAAGCGGATTCTGGACGAACAGAAATACACCAAACATATCCCACATATTCGCAGAAATGGTCAAGAAATCGCAAGAAATCGTCCCCAGACTATCCTGTGACTATTTTTGAATACTCCTCCTGTCGAGGGACGGGCCCGACTTAAGGGTAGCAGTGAACGCCGAGGTGGGTTATACCTGGCCGAACCTGGCCAATACTGGGGAGACGTACGACTCGGGTGGGGGGGACTCGGGTTGCCCTGACGGGGCCATCATGAAATGACGAGGCCCACTCTGAAATTTGACGCGAACTCCCGCTGCAAACATCCCACGAACACGGGACTGTAAACATCTGGTGCGGGCTCGTCAATAAACGTAGGCGAACCCGAGTTCCTGCGTGTTCGAGTCTTCCGTTTCCCCGAAAACGCGTGGGTTACAAACGCCCCAAAGGGCTCCGGGGGGTCAGGTGACGCCGCTAAGTGGGCGAAGACGAGTTAGCCCATATCGCTCTGCCCCAAAATTGGGGTGTATGTGGCCCACGTATCTGCCAGCTAAGGCCAGATCTAAACCACCTTGGCATCAATTGATACCCCCCCGATCCCGTCTTGATTGGAAGCGGCTGACGGATGGTCCCAACCAGAAAATCGGTCAGTAGGGGGGATGGGGCCCAATCGTACAACATCGTTCCCAGATGTCTCCCGGGGCCCATCTGGCGAAGATTTTCACTCGAGGTCTCGAGGTCCGATATTGACGGTCCTGGGGCCCGAGAGCGACCCCTGGAGGCAACGCAAACACAAAACAGCTTCCCAAGCCTCGAGCCTGCCCGCCCTTCCTGCTGGACAGAACCGATGTTTGCAATGCTGGGCACCTCAGACCCCCAGACGGGTCCAACGTCTTGACGGCGCCCACTTGGCGGCGCCACGACTCGGCGACTCCGAAGGGTGTGGTTTGCTAAGGGCACCCTGGGGCGCACCCTGGGGGGCGGGCGGGAATCTCGACGGACCTCTCCGCTGAGCCGCTAGGAGGCCCGCCGATGACAGCGTGGTGCCCCCCAGGCCCCAACGGCGCCGATCGCAAACAACACCCCAGCGTAGCCTCACCCTGTGGGGAAACCAAACGGTACCCATACTGCTACTCCGCGGGCCTCTCCTGGGGCGCGTCATGACAAGAATCACGAGGCAAATCCTGCGGTGGCGACGATGGCCTCCCAGGAGGCAGAAGAAGAGGAAAACGGGCCAAGGGGTGGCGGTGTGGGCACCTCTTCCTCCTCTGAGCGACCTCGCCCTCCCAAACATGTGAGGTCATGATTCGTTCAATACGGGGTCCCTGGAAGTCCCGACCCTGTCTCCGGGACCGGCTCTCCATCCCGCGTCGTTCATTGACGCCCCCGAGGCCTGGCGAGGGCCCCTCGAGGCCGCAACCTGCCCCCCCCCCCGTCCTGATTGTTTCTTTTCTGACGCGACCGCGTCTGGGGCTCTGCGGCCGCCGAGCAGCGCCGCACGGCGGCGGCGCGTCCTCACCGTCCGGCACGCCGTCGCCGTCGGCGTCCCCGGGCGACGCGCAGCCGCCCGCGCAGGGCAGGGCGTCGCAGGGCAGCCGGGGGCCTCGGCCGCGCGCGCGCGGGGCGCGCGGAGCTCCGCCGAGCTCCACCGCCGCATGCCCCAATGGCGCCGCCGGCATGCAGGCGACACCCCGTTTCGGCACACCTCTCACACGCTTCGTGGCTCCACAGGGAGCTCCACCGAAGGCCCCCCAGCGACACAAACAAGCATGTTGGCGACACCCTGTGTCGGCAAGACCCCTCACGCGTTTCGCGGCCCCAGTGGCGCAGCCCGCATGTGGGCGACACCCCGTTTCGCCACACCTCTCTCACGTTAGGTGGCCCCATAGGGAGCTCCACGGAGCGTCCCAGCGGCGCCGCCCGCATGTGGGCGACACCCTGTTGCGGCATACCCCCGGCCCCAGCGACACAGCCCGCATGCGGGAGTTGCCTCATAAAGAGTTCCACCTCAGACTGTACTCACAAGTACGGACCTGTTTCCCGCAGGACCGGAGAGTCCTGGGGAAACCAAAAGGTACCGATGCCGCCACTCCCTGGACCTCTCCTGGGGTGCGTTCTGACCAGGATTTTGAAACAAATCCAGCGGTGGCGACGAGGGAGGCCCAGGAGGCACAAAAAAGGGAAAAAGAGGAGAGGTTAGAGGTATGGGTACCTTTTCCTCCTCTGAGGTCCAAGACCCTTTCTTCCTCAGGACCCGCTTCCCTCCATGCGACTCCTCTCCTTGAGCAGGGACCGACCGTCCCGGCATTCCCACATGTTTTAAAGAGCAAGAGCGATGTTCGTAGAACATCGACCAAACGTGCCAGACATGTTCTGAGAACATTCCGTGCAACCCACGAAGGTTCTTAGAAGATTATGTGGTGGGCCTTATAAGCGAACCGGGACGCTTCGCCACTGCTTGATATCTTCTCTCCTTCCTTCCCCTGCAGCAGAACGAGCTGCCCCCCGCTCTGCCCGCTTCCTCCCGCGCCGATCGCTCCCCCCGGCCGCCGAGCGGCGGGCATGAGGGGTCGAACGGGGCCGGGTCCTCCTGGTCCGGGACGTGGTCTCGCAGCCGCACGCTGCTTTCCCCCCCCCCCCCCCGCGCGCGCATTGGCGGGCCCCTCCCGCCTTCGCTCTTCGGCGCCCCCTCCTTCTCCTCCTCCTCCTCCTCCTCCTCCTCCCTCTCCTCCTCCTCCTCGTCCTCCTCGTCCTCCTCCTCCTCC